AGGTCGCTGAAGATTGAGATGCCCGCCATCGCTTATTTTAGACGATGCGGTTGACTTATCAAGGTCGACATTGCTGATGACAGCATCAGTACTGGCTTCATTAGTAGGAACATGGAGTGTATGATGAGCGGAGACGTTGAGTTTCATTGTTAATCGTCTTTGAAAAGGCGTTTGATCGTGTTTGATAATGTTTTTAAAATTAATTTGTGCAACAACTAGTCTTTTAATGCGTACAAATTTGGATGCGGTCCTATCGTCTGGAAACTGTAGGAGTATCGGACATGCGGTCATGTTTTCCTTTTTCTTCAGTCTGAGACATTGTCAGGAGACTCCATCCATAGTGCGTGCTTTTAAGAGGGTATTTGTTAATCTGTCGATGTTCGGTTTATCAGGCACGTTAAAAATGATAACATTATGCGATCTATGAAGGCGTTCTTGCGTTTCGGATGTAACTGAGTATAGTAAGGAAGCAGCCGTGCTCAATCGGTCCAGTGTAACAATTTCTGAACTTCTAAGCAGTTCACAGAATGATAGGACTTGTTCCTAGTATGTGCTGAATTCATGAAGCTTGCATTTCAGCGTGGCTACTTCTTCCTCAAGGGCTATAATCCGGTCTGTCATTTCAGTCGGAATTATGGTAGTAAAGTTGGAGTGGTTTGCAGCTACATCGACCTTTTTTGGAATTAAGATGATGGTCGTCCCTTTGTTACAGTAATATCGGATGGGTTTCTAGAAGTGCTATCAGAGGGTTTTATAGTCTTTTCTGTTTTCAACTTCAGCCTGAGGATGGCGCTTCTCGTTTTCACATTGTTAACAGGCATTTCTAGTGGGTACTCGGAAGAATGTTATGGTGCTGAGTGTAGGTCTAATAAATGTTGAACAGAAATACAACCGTAGGGGGACGAGAAAAAATATGGCAGTTTTTACTACTAAAGTGGTGCAAACCAACCGGTTTAAATTCCGGGTTGTTTTCGCTGATGGGGCAGTTCTTTGATTTTTCTGTCACCTGCTCGGTTTGTTCGTTAGTCTCGTTTATGTGCAAAAGTCTATGAAGTACGCTCCCGGGCAGGTGGTAAATTACAATCTGAGGTTAAGGTGATTCGCTCACACGTTGTGACACGCACGCAAGGTCGAGTGGCTTTGCGGTGAGAGAAAATTTGCATCTCTTGATGGATGCCGTTTAGAGTCGGTTGTCGGTGAGATGTAGTCCACACGATGGAGCTAGGGTCCGATAGTGGGAAAGCCAATTTGTTGGTCGCATTAGGAAATATGGCTCAAAGTACCGTCAAGAGTTGTAGATTGCGATGGTATGGAGCTGGCCAAGTGGTTGTTGGATAGAGCTGGTAATTCCGAGCCGAATGATTGGAATTTGGTTGATGTACGTTGAGATGTGTAAGGAAAAATCCACTGCAGAGCGGAGCACAGAGTGATTTGGAAGTTTTGCAGAGCTTTTGCGAGAACAATCAGATATCCTTCAGCACTTGTTCAGATGTTGGAAAGAGGAAGCAAAACGGGATTAAATGGTGTATAATAGTCCGCGATCCGTTAAGACTGCACGTAGAAATCATGCGGTGTCAGAGCTTCGGTTTTACGTCTGCGTCGCAGTTAGGCCAAATCTTTAAAGTATCGTTTTCGTCCGCAATTACAATGTTGCTAAATTATCTATAGTAATCCACGAAAATCAGATCAACTGATTCTTGCAAGTAATCAAAGGTTTTTGTTGGGAAATATCTGTTGGAGGAACGTGTTTCATCTAGAGAGAAGGTTGCTACCAGCTGGTTATCGAGCCGTTGTGGATTCGACGCCATTGGTTAAATTTGTAACCTTTCATAAATAGCTTCAAAACCTGGTCTATACTGAGAGTGGCACACTGCAGTTCGCATTTTGTCTGAAAAACCAAATCAGAAGTCGGACAAATGTAATGCAAGATGAAAGTCAGCAGTACGCCAGCACACTGTGCCGACGCTTCGCTGCCACGCTACTACCACCGTTCGCACGTGGACTGAGTATACGACGAGGTCGCCCGCACCTACGCGGATTCGAACCAGTAACCTCCGGATTATAAGGCGTGTGTAATCCTTTCGGACACTGGCCGAAATTTTATCGCGCTAGATAATCGAATATCTGAAAATCGCACCTTTGCAGCATAGGCATCAATTCTAAATAGCTGTCACACTAGTGGTAGGTTTAAGCCAAACGTCAAGTATGACGAGATGCATGAAAACGGATTAGTAAATGTGGAGTAGCAGCGCGGGTGTCAATATAATATATAACAGTGCAATCTGCCCGATCCATTAATAAGTTATGCGCTTAATCGAGCTTAACTAACTGGAGAAATTCCGATCCATAAGGAAGCTGAATAGAAAGTTCCACCTTTATCTTCAATATCCGCACCACCATTACTTTCTGTCTTCATTCGGTCACGCTTAACTAGAGGCGTCCAAGTTAACAGAGAACCTGAAAAGTGAAAACCAATCGATCCTCATCTCCTATCTCTGCCCAAGTTTTAGTTTCTATCCTAACTATATCATGTATATCTCGATGGTCTTAACTTGCCATAGAAAACGAAAGAATGAGGCAAACAGACCCGCATTGCATCTGCCCATATTTATAGTACTTATTTGTCCAACGGAATTAGCATGTGCGCGAACGCTTGTTCACATGTTCATTAGCACCCTCCACTTGACATCTCCCTCAATGCCCATGTATCCACTATTACCCATCTTCCTGTTCTAAGTAGTCAGGTATGCAGCTGAGTGGGCCGCGCATTCTCATTGCCATTTTGGCGCCTCCCTTCCTTCTTTTCCACCTGTTCCTTATACTCCCATCCGGACTCCCATAACTAACATTCCTCCTATAATTCCCAGCATAACTGATAGCAACCGAAGTGCAACTGGAGTAGAACTATCCGCAGCCACCTTCCGAGAACACCCACCGGACGCGTATCGCCAACAGTCCCTTATAAGATCAAACCGACCCCTTTCCATGGCGGCGTTCAACGTTCGCACTCCAAGATAAATAGGTCAACAGGCACCCGCACGCGCCTTGGATATACTGGGCGTGTTGTCTGTCCGATCAATGACCCTAATGGGGTTGTTGAAGTAACTGCGCCAGTGTCATTCTCTTGTTATTGATTGCACGCATCCGGAGACGCCGATGCAGCCCTCACGGGGCAAGTTGGTGTAGGTATCATTCTAAGCTCCAAGGCTGAGCTATCGTTGGTCGATTGGATTCCGGTGAACAGCCGTTTGTGTGCAGCTCGTTTGACGACATCAGCTAGGATTGATTCACGAAGTATTACAAAACGTTGTTTGTTTGGGATTTGCGCTTATGCCCCCATCGACTGCAGTCCTAATGCTGTCAAGGACATTCTCACGAACTGAACGCGCTACTACGCAGTGCTACTAGTTCAGATATTACAGTACTTGCAAAGGATATGAACGCACAAGTAAAGCGTCAGAATTCTTCAGAAGCTCAGCTGGGCGGTAAGTATGGGCTTAACCCCGAACGGACTGACAACGGTGAGCGTCTGCGGCAACGGTATGCGGAACACCAGTTGTTTCTCAGTAGCACTGCTTTTAGACACAGTGGGCGCCGAAGCCCCACTTGGCGTTCTCCTGTGGCTGGCCAGCGATGGGCCAAAATTGATCACACTGCCATAAGTTAAAGGTGGTATGATTCCATCCTGGATTGCCGATCGTGCTGGTACCTGGATCGACTCTGATCATACTTTAGTACGCTGCCGTTTCTCTATGAACTTTACCGCGTGGCGCACCAAGTGTCGCCTCGGACTGCAGTGTTTGTTTTTTTATTATTTTGTTCAGACTGATAAAGGGAACACGATGCTTTAAATGACTGAGGAATTGTCTTAGCCCTCGATCAGGCAAGCCTATCAAGACGCACTGCGTACCGGACTTTCGGTGTCTTGTCCGAATGATACTGAGCTTCAGTAGAATAGGATCTCGGCAGCCATGCACAACGCAGGAGTATCTGCTAGTGTTATTATCAATCGGCACCTCACCAGTCACTGGATATCCGAGAGGTCGATGAAGATACCTACCGGCTGGCTCTGAGCACAATGTGCCCAGACGAGCTATTAGGCGCGAACTAAAGCAGAGCCCACGTGCTAACAAGGAAGCCTGCTGGACTAGTAATGCTCAAGAAATGGAGGAGGCAGGAGCAGTAGGCAATTACCGCAAGCTCTTCCAGCTGATTTGAACCAATGGTCCCAGGAAACCAGGCGTCAGTGAGACAATCAGAGACAGCGCGCCATATGGCTTGTTGGGCGGAACACTTTGAAGATCAGTTCAGCTGGCCCTCCGCTCCCGGACCTCTTCCTACTCAGGTGATGCAGGACGAGCTATGGACGGTTAGTTTAGAGCCTCCGTCGGAAGCCGAGGTCCGAAACGCGACCACAGCTCTTAATCGTTTTTGTGCAACTGGTCCGGATTCCCTCCTACGTGCACTATTTAAGGATGGAGGTAAGGTCCTATGCAAAGCACTGAGCTGCTTATCGGAACGTTGTTTTTGTTGTTATGGTAACTCCATGAATTCCAGTAGATCTAACCGAGCAAATGTTTGCATGTCTTTCGCCAAAATTCAGCAACGTTTCGATGAAAACAACGATTAAACATAATTATCTTTAGTCAAGCTCGGGTATTTCTTCCATGAAATGTATCACGGATGTCATCTGTGAAAGCAATGGATTGAAGAAGGTAGTGAAAAATCCAGAAAAATCGGCTGATCTTAAAGAAAGAACATAGCTTATAAAGCAAATATAATTGGACCCTGAAGAAATGTAAGCATACTTTTGCGCTTTCATTCTTCCGATAACCTCCTCCCTTTCCGCTAACCTCTGTATTTGAGCATATTCATGTATCCCTAATAAAAAACATGAAACATCTGCAATGTTTTAAATCTAAAGCTAAGTGGGCTCAGTTTTGCACAAATCCGTGAATTATACTATCCATTTATTTTTGGCAATGAAGAAGGTTACTCACGGCATGGCTCGTGTGGAGCATATACGACGCAGGAGAATTGTCCAAAATCACAACTTGATTGAGCGGTCGACCAAGGTGACTAAGATCCTTGACATAGTTCCCACGATGGTAAACACAGGATTCACGAAATAACCGATATCGAAAAGCATTCCATTTGTCGATGAAGTCAGCGACGGGATCCGCATACTGATACAGAAAAGTATCAATAACTAGATGTCAAAAAACTAAAAATAAACAAGGTGATGAATTGGTAACCTCAGGTGTGACCTGAAGAAAACAAAATGCCCAAATATAATGGATGGTCGCAGTTAGCACAAAGTTTAGATGAATGACAAGTTATGTGCGTTGGTAAAATGGAGCACTCAAGAACCAACAGGGACAAGACGAATATCAAAGTGGCCAGTAGGATTGTAAAGAGTTAGTAGAAAACAAAAAAATGAGGCTAATTTACCATGTCAATTAACGAACACCAGCAGAATGAGCTTGTGATAGCTCCAATAGAAAGGTAATGAATGGAACACGAAGAGCAGTGGTGCTACATCCGCGAAGCACTCTCGCTGGACCATGTTATTGCCAAATCGATGACAAGAGTTCCGCCAACACCTAACTACAAGGGCTGCGTTCCAAGAATAATGGAAGTAGTACTACACTCCGAGGGAATGCTGTAAATTCAAATGAATAACTGGTCAAAGTTTCGAGCCAGGTTGCTAACACAGATACAGCTAAAGGCAGCAGGCGCACGGCCAAGAGTCGTAGACGATTCGGTGGGACTTGCAAACGCTACAAATTCTTTATGCGCACAGTCCTGCGGAGAGACCGACACAAAAGAGGGCAGAGCACAGCACGAACGAAACTTCTGTTCAAGAACGCTCAGTAATGCCATGCAATTTGACTGAAATTCACAAACCAGAAAAACATTAAACGCCGGCCACCTAACGACTGCCTTAAAACCTAACATAAAGTTGACATCCATCAATGCACTCCTAACAACATAAACATTATCCTACATGTACACAAACATCCAAGGCCTTCTAAGTAAGTTGGTCGAACTTCCAGAACCACGTCTCACAACCGTGGGACCTGGTCATGATTACAGAGACCTGGTTAAAGCTTGAGATAAGAAATTCTGAGATCAATTTACTCGATATGTCGCTGCTTCGGAACGATAGAACCGAGAGGGGTGGTGGTGCGATCCTTTATTATAATACAAACCCCCGATGTGAAGTTATCAATCACTCGGAAATCCACGCTCCTGATTCGCTTTGGTGCCGCCTATGGTTGCTAAACAAGGACACATGCCTACTAGCCGTAATTTACCGCCCATTAAACTCTACGTCGAAAACAGACTCCAAACTGAACCACGTCTTTCAGTTTGCTTTGAACAAGTCCTACACCCACATTCTTATCGCTGGAGACTTTAAAGTGCACGACATAGAAACGCCAGCACCCGATGTTACACAGTTTAAAGCATGTTGGCAATAGCTGATTGCTAGCCACCCTCTGCACAACTAGGTTACCTCACCCACCAAATTTCGAATTGCTAACGAGCTGCCGATACTGGATTTTGTGCTCACTAACGAAGAAGCCATGGTCGAGGGGATACTTAAAGGCACGTCAGTAGGTCGCAGTGCCCAGGTAACGCTATTCTTTGACGTTCAAACAATTGGTTACAGTGCCTTACATTTCCGGAAGAACATTCTGATTCTCCATTCAACTGGAGCTTTTCTGATGTCATTCCATGGATAGCTTTGCTGCTCCACAATGGCGCCCGAACAAATGGGTTCGGCCCGTTTCATTTCCACAAGACCGTGTCCATGGACACGGTCTGCACAACCCGGACAAGTATACCACAGAAGATAAAGCAAGCCTCTATCAACAGTATTTTTACTCACTTGCACCACTCATCACTCGACTCTACGATAATTGTGCATCTTTGACCGGTTTCAATGACTACTGCCGGACCATTACCAAGCAAATCGGTCAACTAGCGAAGAAATTTGGTCGCCAATCGATTGCGAATAACAGTGTAAAATGGGTCTATACGATGCATCGCCGGCTTGCACTACTGTTCAAAATAACCTACGGCAGTGTTCCAGGACGTGGTGCCTTTTCGCTAGGCAAGCGTACTCCCTATAAAAACCCACAACTGTCTGCTTAACAACACTGCGACATGGCGGTCGTGACTCGACAATGAATAAAGTCACAGCTGAACATTTCACACTGACGTAACCATCAGACTTCTACATACAACCTGTGCAACCGATTTTGCTATGGAAAAAGCTTTGATGGAGCACCGAACATTCCGAGCTTTTAATGGACAAGGATTGCAGCGAACTCTTAATTTGGCTCCTTTGCTCATGGGTTACTACATGGCGAAATCACACCGAACTGGAATGTTGACACAACAGTCATGACTGATTTTTCCGCGTCCCAGCATCATTATGTTCCTGGGTCGGACTATTATTTGACAAAATGCTCACCTGTATGAACTATGAAAATTTAGGTTATACCTTTCATTGAAACGAAATGTTTTACTATTTCAAAGTAGCACGGCCTGTATGCATATTTGATCGCGCTTTCAACGGTGTGCCACGTTTTACCGTTTTATTTGTTTATATATGCTATGCAGAAAATTCAGAAAGGGAGGACGATAATGTGTATACTGTCAAGTAATATAACGTGCTATCTACGCATCTCAAGGGCATATCTACCCAACTCATTTACAAATGGTTCGACCGCTTCTCGCAAGATCAGGGCTATCCCAATTCGTACAGGGGTTAGTGATTAACTTATTGTGCGCCCATGCTTTCTCCTTGCCTTCCGTTCTCCATGGACACAGATGTTTATCTTCGAAATGATGGTAACTACAGGAGCAAGCTTGCACCCTCTCATGGAATCTCTCTCACACAACCCGTATCACATTTTGAGTATCCACTCAGTCATGTTGTCGACCACCGTAATATGTTTCTACCCTTGGAGAACCCCTACAAACATGCAGCTGACATAGAAACGCCTCTTTTAGGGAACGCGCCACCTCACCCGGCGCCCTTGCTACCCCTCCGTCTCCCGACGCATATCGACCAGGCTTTAGGGATGCAGAATGCACCACCTGGTTCTCCAAACCCTGTACACTGCCACAATGCTTACTCATGTATAACAAGCCAAGTTCCCACTGACGCCAGGCATCAACAAACTATGCTTCATCCCCCGTGGTCTCCACCACGGTCTCTGTAAACCGCACCCAATATTGTGGCTCGAGGTCCTATAGGTCCTTTAATACAGGCAACGATGACTACAGCCAAAATGAGCGCGACCTTACCTCTCAACAATCTTCAGAAAATACATTATAATTCTAGCTCTAGCAGGCTGATGTTAGAGGCAGCAAGCCTTCTATCCCAAAATGACGTAGTTAACCTTCTAAAAAACGCTAGATCGCTGGCGACCCTTATTATCCTTCTATCGACTACGTGTTGTGCTTGTAAGGAAAACATGGTTTGGTTCGCAGTACACAGAACTACTTGTTCCTGGTTTAATGACTTTTGCCAGCGGCCGCCTTACTGGTCGAGGTTGCGTTGTGTACGTTAATGATGCTTTAGAAGCGAGTAGACTGGAGGCTCCTTCGTCAAGCAGCTTCGAGGATTCGGTCTGGATACAGGTTAAGATTAAATGCAGTTGTTTTCTTTTTGGTTGCATTTACTTGCTGCCCGGCACTACTAAGGCCAAATTAAACCAATTGACTGAATTGTTCGAAGTGGCATCTGAGATGCCATGTTCGCAAAAACTTATAGGTGGCGCCCTCAGCATGCCCGACGTTTCGTGGCAGGAATGAACAGCACCCGCCAAGTAACGGAATTTTCTGACGTCAGTAGTCATTCGCGGATGGACACAGCAAGTATGCTCTCCTACTAAAGGCAGTAAAATTTTAGACTCGTATTTCACGTTGGGCATATCCAGTTCACAAACGCAGACTCTTAATAATCTCCCTGTGAGCAACCATAAGATTATCCCACTAACCTTTAGGATTGCCCAAATAACGGCAACGAACCCTCACTATGTCCATCAATATCGACCACATCGCAAATTGGACTGAAACAGCTTCTCTGACTTTTAGTTATCTTGACTGGGGTGGCTTTTTCCTTACAGGTATCGCCGCTGATGAGTTCTACAAACATCTGACCTATTGCACTGACCTGCTTGTAGCACTGTAATATAGAAAGCAGCTATTGCCTCGTCCACAAAATCCCATTCCTAAAACTGTTGCGGTGCGTCTAAAATGCTTGCGCTTTAGGTTTAAGAATATGAATGATATATGTATCATCATACAAACTGATAAAATTCTCAAGGACTTGAAGACCGACATGAAAGAAAGGTTACGTCACGAGAGGCACAAGTGCTAGCAGGAATGGTGAACAAACTGTGTACCCAGTACGCCGCGGATTTTTGGATCATTGTGAGCTGGATATTACTTTTGCTTCGGATTACTGTGTTATCAGTGTTTTTTGTGTGAATTGTTCAGCAATATTCTTCTTTTGGCGTGTTTTCCAATCGGTGCAAATTTAGCGACTGTTTGGCTAACTCCGGAGATCTCATTGATTTGCCCTATAGTCATCTTCGTCCGCCGACTTGGATTTACTCTAACTTGTGATGCCGTCACAAGCTACTTGCGGTTCGTGTTCGAAAGTTGTAAGAAATAAGGCTCATGCACTTCGGTGCTTCGGCTGCGATGCTTTGTTCCATATTGCGTGCATTGACTTATCTGTTGAGGTGTTTCGAAAATCTCTCGACATCCGACATCGATTTTTCCAAGTTATATGTGATAAATGTCGAGGGTGCAAAACATCAGAATACACAGCGACCGCCAACAACTACGGGAAAACCTCTCTTCCAGACAGAAACAAACCGTTCACCACGTGGGGTCAAACGCCTTCGTTAAAGTACCTGTCACCTCGTCTTCTCTTATCGCTCCGCGATCTGCACCACCACCAGCGTCTTCGACCCCGGCCGAGCCTCAGGTTCAATGTTCCCCACCGATGGAAGAATCAGACACAGAATCTACGAAATACCGCTTCATTGATCGGTCCGTGAATTTCTCGGAGCCTGTTTGTGAACTTCTGAACACCGAGGATCCATGGATCACTCAAAAGCGCAAGGGGCCACGTAATCGAGTTCAGAAGTCCCTTGTTGAT